TATGGGCTCTCTCAGTAGTCAAATGCAATACAGTCTCTTCTTTGAGAAATGAGCCGAGCACAGTTAAAATATGATTTACCAATTATAAAGGACGACAGAGCAAACGATGACCAAAAGAAAAAAATGAGTGTGTATAATTTGATAATAAGAAAAGTGTTTATTTTTTAATGGAAGTTGGTGCAAGATTAGGTGTTATAGGGAAGGAAGCTGGCATGCAGTCTTTGATAGGCTCTTCATAAAGATCACAGCCACAGGGAGACTTAGTAAACACCGGGAATGCTATTAGCCTCTGAATTTACTGGGACCCCTTGGTTAAAGAGCCCCCTAGGGAACCCACAAGAGAGACATTTTCTTTTAGATTCTGCACAGAGATAGCCAAAATTATATTGACTCAATAAAAGGACATAACTAAGTCACCTTTGAAATACAGATGAGGGAGGAAGGAAAAGAAATTTTAATTAAGCCAGGTACATTATCATGTAGCAGCATGAGAAGCCATGAGGGATATTCTTAAATTATGTGCAAATGTCATAATATCAAAAACAGGAAGAGGAGATTTTGTATAGTAAAGGTGAGATAAGGTTTTGCTTCCACGTGGAGCCACATTTAACGCTACTAAAGTCTAAGAAGAGATTTTAATTATGGTTTATTTTCCTTAGTATCATTAACTTACATTTTGTGGACCAACGTCCTGTTAGAGAAGATATTATATTCTAAAAGGACACTAGCCTACTTTTTGTTTCTACAGGAAGAGAACATTTTTCCTCCCACCTAAATATTTGCAGAATGATTTTCCCCCATACTTGAAATTTATGCTCTTGCCAGGATGTATCTGCAGGTAAATCTGTTTCTGACCCCCTGATGGTTGTGCTGAGTTGGTCTCTTCAATCTGTGTATTTACGTCTTTGTGTAAGGAAGTCACTTCTCCCGTATCTTCCACCACTGCTTGTTGAGTGTCCTGTTTTGCTTTTCTCTTCGGGTAAAGCAGCTACCCAGCAGGCATCAGAGTTGATGTCACAGGCAGTTGTGCTGTCCAATGTGGGTGCTGGAACCAAATTTGCATCCTCTGCAAGACCACTCCAGCTCCTAACTCCTAAACTTGCTCCTCAACTCTTCTATCTTGATGCTTCCCCTGACCCCAGGCTGGGTTTCCTCTGCCATCCTGATGTGATGTCCCATATTCTTATCACTTTCTGCCCCCAACTGCTTTAAATATTGGTTACACCTGTGCCACTGTCAGCTTTGGAGTTTCTCTCTTCTCTCTCTCTCTTCCTTTCTCTCCCCTCTGCCCCTCCATTTCTTATCATTCATTTTTTTATCAGTCTGTGTTTTCTTTGAGATAGTTTACTCATATTTAGCAAACATTTTTGTAGCTTGTTGAGTACTCTAAATGATATTTACATTTAGGGTGGAGTTACAAAATTGCATTTAAAAACCAGTGCTGATGTTTTCTTACTTCTCTTCACTGTGAGTTAAATCGAACAAATCTTCTCATCACCTCCCATCCATTTGTCTAATACTGTTTTCTCATCTTAGACAGCTGAGGCCAGTGTGAAGGCAAAGCTAGCCAATGTCCAGAGGTTCATGCTGTCTGGAAATGGCTCAGTTCTATTTAGTTGTGCTTGGACTGTCTCCATCACTAAGGAACACCTGATATTATTTTGTATAATCTCCAGCGTTTTTACTGGAGTATATCAAATTAGATTTAAAATTACTAAGAGTATTTCCAAGATTCAAGTCATTTTCAGGAGAAATGAGCAGCTGCCTCATTCAGTGTCTTCACAGGGAGCGCGAGGACGGAAGGACACTGATATGTTCAGAGCTGATGGCATGCCAGATGCCATTTCAAACTGGAAGCCACCCAGCAATTAGCATCTGTTCAATGCTTGGGCCATGCTTGGCAGCCTTCATACAAATAAACCTTTGGAATAGAACCAGTTCATAATACAATAACTAAACACGCTCTTAATTACCTAATTTCTCTCATAATCATCCATATTTTAGTGCTAAACTAAAACATTGCAACATACAAGTGTTAAAAAAAGTACTAGAATTTGAATTAATTCACATTTTGTAATTGTAAATTGAAGATAAGGGGGGAAAACAGGACATAGCAATCAGAAAATTCTATTCTGTACCTACATGTGTGTTTCTTCTTTAGTCTAAGAGATAAGGACAGGGATCCAACTATGTGCTCAATGAGACAGAACCATAATGCCTAAGTCCTGCAAACTCAGGACTGTCTGAACTCAAAAGGCAAATTCAGCTGCTATTGATATCACCAACTACAGGTTCAAAAAATGCCAGTGGGATTTCTCTCAAACTTCTTGTATGCACATGACTAGGAGGCAGAGTTCTGCCTTGGGGTTCTTAACGGCTTATGGGGATGCTGCTTATTCTTTCTTGTTATAGTGTGCTTCTTTCTTTGTTCTTGGCAGTATGTCATGATGAGAGGTGGTTTGGGGGCCAAACTAGTATGGCATATATGGTAGTATATGCACTACCCTGGAGTGACCTTTCAACTCTCCTTTAATGTGTAGTCCACATTGCTGAATGGAACATACACCAACATCATCAAGTCTTTTATTTTGTTTTAATAGAATACACCTAAGTTAAATTTGCATTATACTACTGGTATTGCCTCTTCCACTGCTTCTGCCTTTAAGACATTAAGAATCAGTATTGTTCATGTGGTACATAGGAATGAAGAAAGGGCAGCTGGTCTCTAGAGAGGAAGCAGGGACTGTAATTAACTCGTAATGTTATGCAGGAATTAAAAGCATCTGATAATCAGGAAGAATTGATAGAGATCTTTGCCCAGGGCACAATTCTGAACATAAGATGCTCATTTTTCTCTAGAATGAACTGGAAAATAGAATGGCACACTGCACACTTATTCTCCAGTGTATAGGGTATAGGGCAGTGAGGTGGAGAGAGTTTAAGTTTGAGGTTAAGTTGGGCTACAAAGTAACATCATGAAAAGAGAAATAAAGGAGGGGGGATAGAGGGAAGGAAAAGAGGAAAAAAAGGAAAGAAGGGAGGAAGGAAATAGGGAAACTGGAATGGTATTCTGGGTGAACAGTCCCATGTTCGTACACACACTTGTCAAAATGCTGTCAGAAATTGCACAGACTGACTTACAATTTATGAAGGATCTGCTTCCATGACTATCTTTTATGACTTGTGTTCTCATTTCATTCTTCAGGCCATTCTGGAAGCTTCCCTTTACTCTGGCACTTCCTTTTCTGTGCAGCTTCTGGTTTGCTGGAACACTGTTCGCCTGCACTTGTTTTTGTTGCCTGGGCTTTCTAAAGTTTTATACAAAATATACTGCCTGTGCAGATGACAAAAAGGTTCTCATCTGTGTTTCCTTATAGGATTTTCAGGGTTTTCAATCTAAGCACATAAACCACTTCCTGTTAGTTTCTGCATATGTGAGTGAGAAGGGTCCAAGTTTCTTCTGCAAGTACGCATGCAGTTTTCCTAATGCGGGAAGATACCTGCGTACTGCATGTCTGAGAGGGATTGATATCTCAAGTATATATGGAATTTCACTCATTATCAGGAAAACCAGGAAGTCCAACATAAAATGGACAAAAAACTTCCAAGACATTTCTCAAAATAAGGCATGAAAATCGCAAAACAAATATAAGCAAAAAAAAAAAAACCCTATGAAACAATGACTACCATCATGAAACATCATGAGAATGCCAATCAAATCCAAAATCAGAATTTATTTTGTCACCGTTATAATTTCTATTGTAAAAACAGTAAAAGTTAACAACTGTTGGTGGGGCTGTAAACAAAGGGAACCGTTGTACGCTTTGGTTGGGCTGTCTATTAGTATAGTCAATGTGAATAATAGTGTACAAGTTTCTAACCAATTACAAAAGGACCTAGCACATGACTCCGACCTCCCTCTTCTAGATATTTGTCCAGAGGAAATGAAATCAGCACATGAAGAGACATCTGCATTCCCATGTTTGCTGCAGTACTGTTCACAATGTGCAGTGAACCTACGTGACCACCTTTGGATGAGTGATTGAGCAAACGTGACACACACAACCAGGAGAACGCGATACAATCACTGTGAAGACCGGCATCCTCGAGGGTTCTCTGTTAAGGTAAATAAGGTAGCCGGGACAAGACAAGCCCCATGCATAAGCTTAAAACATTGACCTCACGAAGCAGAGTAGCTCGGTGATTATCAGAAACAAGATTGGGGAGGGCAAGAGAGGGAAGGTAGGTGCTGGCCGAAGGATCTGTAATTACGGGCAGACAGAAGGCAATCTCAGCAGGCCCATTCCACTGCAACGTGACTGCAGTTAATGCTGGCATGTTTCATTCTTAAGAAGCAGAAAGAGTACATGGACTGTACTCTCTCCACAAAATAACTATGTGAACTGATGTTTCTATGAATTAGATCTAACCAACTTCACAGCATTGTACCATGTATGGAAAACACTATACAAGAGTCCCTGTCAGATTAGCACTGTAGTATAGTAAAGCTATAAACTTCTAACTAGTGATTTTGATGGGTCCTGTTATCACTGTCCAGTGGGTGTGTGAGCAATCTGCAGGCCCCGGGGCATAGGGCTGCTGTTGTTGTGTGACTATAAGTAAGGGACTCAGCTTCTACCAACTCACAAGGACAGGACAACTACATACCTTTGTTCCTCAAATCCTTTTTTTATTATTATTATTGTAACTTGTGGTTTGAGTACAGCAACAAGGAAAGATCCAATTGAGGAATGAACCACTAATTTTTTGTTGTTAGTTAATTAAACCATTTATTTTATATTCTTACAAGTATAAAACACATCCTAGTCTCAGTTTCTTCTTCCTCCTAGTAACTCCTTCCCCACATTTGTGCCCTTCTGTTTTATCACATACTATGTTTAACCAAAGCTCTCTTTGTGACTGTGGGTTTGGAACTATCCTTTAGAGTCCGGTGAGCTCAGCAGTGGGTGCACAGCTGAAGACAATGACTGCTGCTCTCCCAGAATCCTTCAGTAGCCAATAGTTCAGTAGGGAGGCAGCTGTATGAGGCTCCCCCTTCCTAAGTCCTGACAGAGCCAGCCTTTTGTGGGCCCAGAGCAGGTAACCGTAACCACTCTGATGAACTCATAATTCTTTTTTTTTTAATTGAGCTATACCTTTTTTTCTGATCCCTTACCTGCCTCTCCTCTCCCCTTCAATCCTCTCCCATGATCCTCATGCTCCTAATTTACTCAGAAGATCTCTTTTTCTATTTCCCATGTAGATTAGATCCATGTATGTCTCTCTCTTAGGGTCCTTATTGTTATCTAGGTTCTCTGGGATTGTGATTTGTAGGCTGGTTTTCTTTGATTTATGTCTAAAAACCACTTATGAGTGAGTACATATGATATCTGTCTTTCTGGACCTGGGTTACCTCATTAAATATGTTTTCTAGCTCCATCCATTTGCCTGCAAATTTCAAGATGTCATTATTATTATTATTATTATTATTATTATTGCTGTGTAGTACTCCATTGTGTAAATGTACCACATTTTTTTTATCTATTCTTCGCTCGAGGGGCATTTAGGTATTTTTCCAGGTTCTGGCTATGAAAACTTCATATGGAAATGAAAAATTGAGGATAGCCAAAACAACACTGTACAAGAACTTCTGGAGGCATCACAGTCCCTGACTTCAAACTCTACTACTGAGCTACAGTACCGAAAATAGCCCGGTATTGGCCAAAAAAAAAAAAAAAAAACCAGACAGGAGAACTAATGGAGCCAATCAAAGACCCAGATATTAATCCACACATTTTTGAACACCTGATTTTTTTTTGACAAAGAAGCAAAAGCTATCAGATGGAAAAAAAAGCATATTTAACAAATGGTGCTGGCATAACTGGATGTCAACCTGTAGAAGAATGAAAATAGATCCAAATCTATCACCATACACAAAACTCAAGTCCAAATGGAATCCATAATTCTTAATGAAAAATTATAGGAGGTTTTTTGGAGATAAGAGAAAATTCTTTTATGCATCTCTAAAACCTAATATATGCTAAAGGAGGGAGATTCAGTTTTCTTTAGGAATCCCTAGCAGTTTGCCAGTGCTCTAGTGAATGGCGCTAGACCCATGCACACAATGGTAGGTCTAGGCAGACTCAGTGGGTTAAAAATAGCATATATGAAGTTGAGAGGGAAAAGTAGTGGTGGGGCAGAAGAGTTGAAGGGGAGGCTCTCTGGGGTAGATTTGCTCAAAACACATTGTATGTATATACATATGTATGTATGTATGAAATTCTTAAATAATATTAATGTATCATTTATCTTCTTAGGGCAAAGGTCCAGAGAAACTGCTCTCAAAAAACACCTTTAGGGTGTGTATTGTATTTGTTCTGGCTGGGTCATGGCTGCTGGAACCTTGAAAGTGTGCGTTGTGGGCTCTGGGAACTGGGGCTCAGCCATTGCAAAAATAATTGGGACTAATGTCAAGAACCAGCAGAAGTTCGCCTCTACAGTCAAGATGTGGGTTCGTGAAGAAACAGTGAACGGGAGGAAGCTGACTGAAATCATAAATCACGACCACGAAAACGTCAAATATCTTCCAGGACACAAACTGCCGGAAAACGTGGTTGCCATCCCAAATCTCAATGAAGCAGTACAGGATGCAGATCTGATGGTGCTCACCACCCCACACCAGCTTATTCACAACATCTGTGATGAGATTTCTGGCAGGGTGCCCAAGAAAGCTTTGGGCATCACACACATCAAGGGCTTAAATGAGGGCCCAGGAGGGCTGATACTCATCTTCAACATCATTCACGAGAAGACGGGAATGGATGTCAGCGTGCTGGTGAGGGCTAATACAACCAACGAGTTGGCTGCCGGGAAGTTCTGCGAGACCACTATCGGCAGCAAAGCCAAAATGGCCTTCTCTTCAAAGAGCTGCTACAGACTCCCAACTTCCGCATCACTGTGGTCGAAGATGCCGATGCTGTGGAACTCTGTGGAGCACTGAAAAATATCGTTGCTATGGGAACCACCTTCTGCGATGACCTCCGCTGTGGGAACAACAGAAAGGCTGCCATCATCTACCTTGGCCTTGTAGACATGATTGCTTTCACTAGGATCTTCTGCAAGGGCCAAGTGTCCATGGCCACCTTCCTGGAGAGCTGCGACTTGACTGACCTCATCACTACCTGCTATCAAGGGAGTGACTCCAAGGTGACCAAGGCCTTCTCCGGGACTGGGAAGACTACTGGAAAACTAGAGAAGGAGGTGCTGAATGGGAGGAAGCTTCAAGGACTGGACACCTCTACCTTAGTGTACCACTTCCTCAAGCAGAAGGGACTTCTAGACAAGTTTCCGCTGTTCACAACAGTGTATCAGATCTGCTGTGAAGGCAGACCTATCACAGAGATGCTACCCTGCCTTACAGAAACACCCTGCGCACATATAAAGGGCATCTGGCAGATGGCTGGGACAGCCCTGCCTCACCTATGGGGAAACGCTTGGAAACTAGGACTTGACAAGAAGAACCCTATTTGACTATAATCTTAAATACCGAATGTATTTGAATCGCTCAACTTTGTTTGAGTTGTGAGAGGCAGTTCATTGGCTAAGCGGTATTGGTAACAGCTAAGCATTACAAACATGTGAGTGTGTTGTGTGTTTTTAATTTCTCATTGTATGTGTTTCTGTGACCCACAGCTAGGTGTTCTTTTAACGATCACATATGAAATTTTCCCACTAAAGTAGCCTGTAAGATTGGATCTATCTCAAAGAAACTTTATAGATGGGATTCAAATCTATTTTAGCCAAGGGAATTTTTTTCTCATTTTCTTGGTGTTCAAGTCAATGAGCATTAAAATGTTAATTATAATGGGCAAGTGTGGTAAAGATCACCCCATTTAACTGACTCTTAAACACTATCTCAAAACTTAACACAACTACTTGAACTTTTGAGTTGGTCAAGTTTTAACATGTGATTAGTTGATGGGGTGTGGTGCGATCGGTAATTAATGATCCGCCAGACTAGCTTAATACAAAATATACAGCTTTAATAAACAGAAGGAAGACTTACACCAGAATCCCAACAATCCATCTGGATGCAGGAGCCAGGTGAGAGAGAGCTAGGGGAAGCGCACCTGCCAGGTTTATAGGTAAATTTTTGCCTTAGGGCAACATGCCCCATGGATAGAATGTGATTGGCTGAACTCCCCTATCAATTAGTAAACAGATAATCTACTTGCATATTTGTTCTTGCTATAGTTTTCTGCATTGTTAGCTTTCCTTTTCTTCATTAGTATCCAGAATGGGCCTTTATACAGACCTAGCGATGTCAAAGGTAACAGATACTTTGTGACTTTTGGTTGTTGTTTTGTTAAACAAAGCTTTTTCTGTAAGTATGTATCTTCAGGTGCTCAGAACCCTGGAGAAAGATGCTGCAGCTTCTCATGTAAGATGTGGTGACACATGCCTTTAATCTTATCAATTGGGAGGGAGATACAGGATGATCTCTCTGAATTATAGGCCCTTCTGGTCTACATAGCTAGTTCCAGACCAGCCTAGGCTACATGGTGAGATCCTGGAGGAAGAAAGAGATAGAGAGGCCATAGCTGCATAGCTCTACTGCTCATGTGGAAACATAACTAATCAAATACACTCTTCCACCCTATGTTTTTCTTCCTTCCTTCCTTCCTTCCTTCCTTCCTTCCTTCCTTCCTTCCTTCCTT